CGTAACATTTCTGTCACACGCTTGAGGTATTCGGCCAATCACAACGCATTGGATAGCTGGCCAATCAGAGCACACCTCGCTTTTTTAGAATGATGAGCTTTGTAAAAATCGACGCGTTTCAGAAAGGCGGGGCATAGAGGAGCAACAATAATGTACATAAGGAAAATAATGTGTTTTTTTAACCTTAAACCGCATAAACACATTGCATTACACCAAATACACAAAATAATGTTCTTTTTAGCAACGTCATATGACCCCTTTAACAACATTAGTCTGTTGCACATATCACAAATATATGAAATTATAAACCTTGTGTTAGAATGTCAAACGTATAAGCTCTTGGTTCAACTATAAAAAAAAATACAAACATGGTAAATAAATACATGGTACATATCAAATTTCCATGGTATTACCATTTGATAAGATCACAATACTTATGCAAGGGAAATACTGTGATACTTCTATATATAACAGCACAGGACTAAATGCATTCCTACGGCGCGGTATTTACATGGTAATTCAATGTACTTCAAAGAATACCATGGTACATGCACATACAACACGTATGCTATTTCCATGACACGTCTAAAAAAACGTATGGTAGTAGTACCAAAGTATGTTTTGTTCGTGTGGTCTACATTTTTGTTATGCGAGAAGTTCAGTAAGCTACAGGAAGACACTTCAAAATGGAGACCGTGTCGTCGGGCTGTCGTTGAAAAAGGCGCAAACCACGCACCAAGACAACGAAAACTCACCAAATATATTTCAACGAAACGTTGAAATGAAATATTTCTCGTATACTGAGAACTCTAACGACTGCTAGCAGATCCCTTCTCGCCGAAAGATCACACTCTTCGTCGTGTCATTCGATGTCATCTGCAGCTAAAATGGTCTGAGCTTCTCCTTCCCAGAATGCCTTTAGATGAGGCGTGTTGTTGATGTTGCATGATGGGAAATGTAGTTTCTTATAGCTGTTTTCGTCGACTGCTCTTCCTCTAATGTCCATCTGTGGTCAGAGGATAACAAACTGTTTGACTAAATGAAAACCTACAAGTATGGTGCTTCTTTTTAATAACATATTTTATATTTATATTTTAATTTATTATTAATACATAGGCCTACCTGTGTTTTTCTTGTTTTATATATGCTTATTTAAAAATTAGAAATGCCATGCTTGGTGCAAAGAGTTATTTTAATTACTATTGTAATTACTCCTCATATGAATTACGCATAACACTTTATCACACCTGCTCATAGAAACTACCAAAAGAAAGAAAAAAAAACACACCTGAAGGTGTGGCTTCTCTTGAATTGTTTAGGGAGTTGTATCGAATCGTTTGAACGGTTTATAGCCTATACGAGCCCCATAAAACATTTCGAAACATTATTCAAAAATATTTACTCTTCATATGAATTACACATAGCACGTTATCAAACCTGCTCAGAGAAACTACCAAAAGAAAGAAAAAAAACAGCTGAAGGTGTGGTTTCTCTTGAATTCTTTAAGGAGTTCGAATCGTTTGAACGGTTAATGTATGAACCCCATAAAACATTATCCAAAAAAAAAACCCAGAAGTCAAAGTTTACGTTTATTTTTGTGTTTAGTGAACCTGTTTACCACTTTGCTTTCAATTAGGTTATAATCTAGCGTCAAATGCTGTGTAGTTTGTTTCACATCTCTGCAGTCGAATAAAACGTTGTGCGAATCGGTTCGTTTGAATCACTGAACGCAAGCGATTCTAAAAAAGATTCGGACATTACTTTCTTTCGCCAAGGCGACTACTATTGGAGAGTAAGGTGTACTTCGTGCTATAACGCGGCGCTGCAATCAATATGGGACACCCGAGTACAGAGGCAGCACTCTTCAAGACCTTTATAAAGGAAGCAGACACTTGAAACTGACGAGAGAGGAACATTTTGACATTTTGTTACATAACAGAAATCAGAAATCTTAACGCGTCCGGATTCATCAGTCCGCTGAAGAGGAGAAGGATGATGGTCAAGAGAGAATGACAGGTGAGTAAAACTCCAGCCAAAGTCTCATTATGAGTCACACTGAGCTCTATATTTTGATATTAATTTTAAAAATACAAAAAGTACAGTGAACGTATGATAGCCTTTATAGTTCTGAAATTAGGCTAATTTACAAGGTAGCCTACTTCCAATGGTCCGTTCAATAGTATTTATTTTTACGTTTTTGTACAGTGGTACTTCTTTGACATCCAATATGCTTAAGAAAATATGGTGTCCAAAAACTTTATTTTGGATTTGCACTATGGAAGTACCAGGGTATTCTTAGAAGAACCTTAAAGGGGTCATATGATGCTTTTTTAAAGATCATTATTTTGTGTATTTGGTGTAACAGAATATGTTGACATGCTTTAATGTTCAAAAAACACATTATTTTTCAAATACTGTACATTATTGTAGGTCCTCTATGCCCCGCCTCTCTCAAACGCTTCGTTTTCTACAAAGCCCCCTCCTTTGACAAGCGCAGTCCGCTCTGATTGGCCAGCTGACCCAGTGCACTGTGATTGGCCGAACACCACAAGCACACGTCGGAAATGAAACGCCCCTTACCATAAT